GCTATCACAACACTGGGTGCACCCTAGTCCGGTCGAAGTTGATGTTTATACTGCCGACAACTAAATTCACGAGCGCAGTGGAAACTACTCCTTTCAGACACCGGTTCAATACAGCCCAATAAAGGACTTTTACGTCTGCAGTAGTTCCTGGAAATGTATGAAATTGAAATGATAGGTGCACCTAAGTTAAAACATATGTAATCGTCGTAGCCAAATGCATAGACAATGAGTATCGGTGCATATGAATTACTTTTCTGCTTCATATTGATTTTAAATTGTATATTTTCCCATCTTTACCTGTTGGGTTTCGTAAAATCGGTCTAGTATAATCAGTACATGTTCTTTTCTCAATAGTAGTGAAATATAATTTTTATTTGGTGCTATAGTCTGTCGGTTATTCTGCTTCTTCGCAAAATATCATTACGAACAAAATTATTCCCGCTCATACAAATCAAATTGGGGCCAATTTGCTGTGCCTATAGATGCTATAGTCTGTCGAATATTCTGCTTCTTCGCAAAATATCATTACGAACAAAAATGTTCCCCCTCACACAAATCAAATAAGGGCCAACTTGCTGTGCCTATAGGTGGTCAAATTCCTGAAAGTAGAAAAGATGTAGGTAGAATGCTATTTTTATTGCATCGAAAGAAGGCTTCTAATTTATTTTGGAAAACAATAACTTAAATTAAAACATTAAAAGTTATTAAAAGTCACATAAATTCAGATAACACATGAACAGACGCGGAGTGTGGGAAATACCCATGCCCATAAAAACAGCGAGATAAATAGCACATGATCACTGGACCAAATGCCACTTATATTCAGTACGATTAGCAGGACAGACTTTAAATTGCGTGGCAGTTAGAAATTTTAAAAAATACTGTCAGAAAAAATGTGTTAAGATTTTCGCCACTGCGTTGCTCGATTTGCGGTTTTCAAAACATAACCGATGTTAGATTTCATGGATGTGGATGGCGGGATATTAAAAACGTTCCTTAGTTTTCGGAACTCTAGGCTGGACAAATTAATTGAGAAATTAGAATATCAATTGCTGATGAAACCTTCAAAAGCGAAGATCGCTCAGACTTGCGGTGCCCGTTAACATGATTATTAAGTACGATTTTCTCAAATTATTAATACAAACGAGAATTTATGTCACATTTTTTTTTATCAAATCTTTTAAAGTTGGCGAATATTACTTTCATACAACTTTCTGTGTTAGAATAATTTATTCTGCTAGTGCTGAGCCTGAGAGTACGCATGTTTAGTGCATGAAAAATAGTGGCTGAGGAAAAAATAACAAAATAAAAAAATCAGATTTGTTTTACTCCCCAAAATATGGGCTTTGGTATGAGTGAATTAATCTAGAAACGTTTTCCGTGTAAGCTCCAGCGGTATTAAAGGCCAATCATATGAACTGTAGTCATTACGTTGTCTTATGTTTTTTTTCTATGATGTTTTCGTAATTTAATAAAAAAACGCCCTTACCGACGTTATTCGATAAACGCACGCGTCTCCTGTATTTTCTACAGTTTTGTGAGTTCTGTTTAATTCCTATTCTTAGCACATTGCCGTTAGGGTCAAACCATATTGAATATGATATATAGATTGTCGGAAAGTGTTCACATGACAACTTTTCTATGCCAAAAAGCTGGAGTTCTCACAGTGTTCTTACAGTTACTGTGACTCTAGCTTCCTCCGAAAAGTTTCAAAATTGTACCATTATTCTTCTCAGTGGTACTCTTTTTACGGATCAAATAATTGCAATTAGTTTTCAAAATTGTCAGTAACAGTTTAACACAAATATATTATGAAAAGCAATCGAAGTAAACCTTTATTTTTTAAATGATAAAATATTACTATTTTGCTTTTACTGGACGGGTTGGTCGGTCTTACTATGATTTTTTGGTCTTCATACGCACTACAGTATCAGTGAGGTCGGCTAGATTAGTTATGATGACAGCCGTACCAAATAAATACAAATATATGGTTGTAGGTTTTCCCAAAAGCGGAAATAGACAGGAAGCAATCATAACGGTTAAAAACCGCGCAGACCGTACTGAGGCTGGACAGGTAACCTACCAGTACCTATTACTTTCCTCCTGGATAATAATATCTTTACTCATTATTAATTCAGAAATTTATGGGCCAAAACCACTACCGTTTATGAGTCATCGGCTGGAAGGAAAAGTACATCGGAGGAGGAGAATTGGTTGTTAGTGTCATTATGGCGTCACGCCTTACTCGTCTGGAATATTTACGAAGCTACCGGAGGGGAAATGCCAATCCAAGTAGATACTAACTTAATTTTTCTCAAAAATCGCTTTCTGACTCATGGGATAACATCACTAAACTGGCCCGAAATCCGAATATGGAGCAGGTAGGACTAGAACTCTGAAGTTTTTTCATCAAGCCCGATTGGTGAGATGTGTTCGTTTAAAGTGGAAACTAAAGCTTCCGCCGCATGAAAAGCAAGACCCCATAATTCACCTACCGTTTTAATCCACGCACGCTTAGCCCAAAAAATATGCTTATAAGGGAAAACACTTTAACCCGTTTGCTTACCCTAAAGACCTACGGGTCGAAATATTCTATTTTTGACCGGGTCGGCCATTTATGTCATATTCCAATAAGTGACACAATACAATTCCGCTTACAGTGAATTTAGCCCGTAGGCTGTTTGTTTAATTAAACATTCTGAAGAATTCCTCTATAGAAATTGGGTTTGTAAAATGATAAAGCCTATGATACTATCTGTCTTGGAGAAAATAAACTCCAACTTATTTTAAGCACATAGATAACGATGATACGCCCTGCGACGTAGATCGAAATTACTTACTTTAAAAGAACCGTCGCACTTCCTTTAGGCGGTTAATGCACCAATTTAGTTAGCTTTAAGATGGTTAAAGACCTACCACAGACAGAAAGTAATGGGCGTTTTTATTCTGTACAACACTCTTATTCTGTTGGATAATTGAAGTAGTTTGCACTCCGAGATGATATAATGAAAAGAAAGAAGGCTTACGGAAAATCAAACTGTACTCGTGAATTTTCACGCATGGAACACCAGCCCGTCTTCATACTAAATGAAAAGTGGGAATGTCACACTGGAGTGTTTGGAGGGGAGGTAGGTAGACAAACGTTCACAGCAGGGGAGGATAGACATGTCTCGGTTAGTGTGTCGGGGCGATAACGCGTCGGTGCATTTCCCCTCGGCCGGGTATTTATACGCGACTGTTGTGGGTGCGAGTCGATGAGCCGTGCGCGCAAACCATCGTAGGGTGGATCCAGATCGACGTGTTAATTTTGGTCGGGCGCGAATGCCAAGTTTTGAGGAATTCTCTTGCTTGTCTCGTGTTAGCCATGGCGATCACCTCGGTGCCGTTCAAATTGAAGGGGTGATCACACTCAGGGGAGTGCGCAAATACGAGTGATAAAGTGTCCCGTCGGCGAACAGTTGATGCGAGTCTCGAGACGTCGGCCTGTGTGGCCAACATAAACACAGGGACAGCTGTCGCACGGTATCCTCTTGTTGTTGCTTTTCTAGGAAAGGAGTAGCAACTCCCACATGTAAACTTCTGCTCTTTGCCGGTAAGGTCAATTGCATTATCGGCCAGAAGAACTGCTATCCCTTCATACGTTTACCTAAGCACACAATTTTGGAAAAAGTAGGTATACACGTCGTTAGACCTAAGTTAACCAAATAACGACTTCAATGCGGATCTCAGGCGACGCAATCACCTTTAATCTGCCGGTTTATATAACTATCCTGTTATTGAAGGTTCCAGTGCCAATAAGTTATGAACGTTGACCAACTGCTTCACGTGCTGTCCTGCGGAAAACGCCATTTCTCAAGACACTTTTACCCCTTATAGCAAGCCCCGGAATATGTTGGGGGAGGGGGGGGGAGCTTTTTGTGTATGCGCAGATCCTTACGTACCCTGAAGGTAGTTCGGGAATTCGCACAACAGCATCATTAAAACAAAAAAGCACGCATCGTGTTGCAAAATGTTCTTGTGTAAGTGAAGTAAGTTGCATTCCGAGATGATATGATGAAAAGAAAGAAGATCTTCGGAAAATCGAGTTGTACTCGTGCATTTTCGAGACTCGCATCAAGGAACATAAGTTAGCCGTTTGCTGATGTGACCCTTTATCACTCGTATTTGCACACTCCCTTAAGTGTGATCACCGCTTTAATTGGGATGACACCGAGGTGATCGCCATGGCGAATACGAGACAAGAGAGAGAATTCCTCGACGCTTGGCACTCGAGCCCGGCCAGTATTGACAGGCATGTGGACCTTGATTCAGTCTATGCCGGTTTGCGCGCATGGTCCTCTAACCCACGCCCAGCCTGAAACAACAGCAGCTATTCGTGCTCGGTCAAGTAGAACTTCACTGATTCTGAACCTCCCCCAAACACGTGGCCCACAATCCAAACGTTAACACCTTCCTCCTACATGCAGAACCGAAACTCCCCACTCCCATTCCATCCCATTGGGATGTAACTTCTGCCCCCAGAACCTCTAGTGCGACACTCTCAGCCCTCACTTTTCATTTAGTTTGAAGGAACAAGTGATACCAGTTCGAAAATTCACGAGTACAACTCGATTTTCCGAAGATCTAACTTTTCATTTTCATGCACTTAGGCCGATGCTACATGCTACCGGACGATTTATTTGAAAAAAAACGAAGCATATATTTTCGATACCAATAAGGAAGATACTTTGAGTGATTCGAAATGGGCAGTTGTCACGAAATGCAGACCGCTTCTCTTATTCGTCATTTGAAAAATATCATTCGTCCTCGCACATGCTATATGTACGCCGCTCGTCACTTACATATGCGTGCAGTCAGTTGAAGTATTTATAATATTTTTATTCTTCATTAATATTACTTGCGACGTAATGAAAAACGTCGAACTGTGGCCATCTAGGCTGGAAAAAAACGGCTTTTTCGGACATAAAGAAAATCAATAGATTTTCGAGAAAACCCACTGCATGGTCTGCCTCTACTTCAATCATTTTCTTTTTCATGCCTCTCCCTCTCTCATTACAGCACCCTCCGCCGTGGACATTTCTCCCTTATGTCCCGCAGATTCTCGATCCTCCTCAGTCACGATCGGACGCCTAGATGTGGACTATGTTGACGGCCATCCCACGCAACCCAACCAGCCCACAATCTTCAACGTTGAGAATTTAGAAACATCCTATTTGCAAGTCCCTCCTAGCGCCCCATTTCAGGCTAAGCACCAACACTGCAATCACGTGACGTGTCATGCAGAAGACAACTGCAGTCGGAGATCGCACCTGGACCCCTGGCAGCATCCCCAGCATCGGCACCGACAGTACAGCCAAACGGACAGTTCCATCGTCAGCAGTCTGACTCAGGT